TGGAGCAAAGGGCATCGCTACTAGGAGCAAAGGTTGGCGATGCCCTTGGGGGCTACTAAGGGGCTACTAGGAGCAAGGACGCTACTAGGAGCTCCTGGCCTTACTACTAGTAACAATAAAGCTACTAGGAGCAAAGGGCATCGCTACTAGGAGCAAGGACGCTACGAACGGGGCTCCTGGCCTTACTACTAGGAGCACGAATGGGGCTCCTGGGCTTACTACTAGGAGCAAGGACGCCCTAGGAGCAAGGACGCTACGAACGGGGCTCCTGGGCTTGCTACTAGTAACCACAAAGCTACTAGTAACAAGGGCCTTACTAGTAGTAACAATGTGTGCTACTAGTAACAAGGGCATCGCTACTAGTAACAAAAAAGCCAGGAGCAAAGGTTGGCGATGCCCTTAGCATCGCCTTTTGGGGCGGACTCTTCCGGGCCTCGTGCTCGGTCAAATGCAAATTCCGCATGATCTTCACCGTGAATTCATGTTCGTTCACCGAACCACTTCGATCCAAATCCATATCACTAAAGGCCTTCTTGAAATCACCATTGTAACGTTTCTGCAACTTATCTCTCAAATCTTCTAAGAGAAGACAAGGAGAGACGACCGCTAAAGCAGCCGCCAAGTCCCCCACGGTGATGGAAGGACCGTGGCCTTTCTCTCTTTTTTCATCTCCTTTATCTCTTCGAATCCTTTCGAAGTCGCCTTTTTCGCCTTTTTCTCTTTCCTTCGAATCCTTCTCTTTCTCATGAAGCACGGCATTGAAGAGTGCCAAATGTTCCTCTGGATCATTCACATTGACTAATTGTAAGCGACTTCCAAATTCATGCAAAGTGAACCGATGAGTCAAAGCCAAAGTCGAATGATCCACCATCGTCATGATCGCTTGGGTCATGGTAAAACGACTTGCCAACCAACGTCTCCGGAGATCTTCCACCGAACGCACCGGAGCTGAAGCTTCAACCAACACATAGAAACCAACCATCGTCACTCGACCAATCGATTTGAAATCCAAACGATCAAAAATCGAATCTCTCACCTGTTTGGATTGCCATTCAAAACCAAAACGAGCCAATGAACGTGCTAACTCAAGCTTTGTGATCTGCCGCTCAGGCAAGTCTTTCATGAAGGTCTCAAATGCTTCTTTGATCGTTGTGAACTTCTCCAGTAGCTTGGTGCGAAACTCTTCCATGGGATTGCGAGTGGTTCCAAACGAAGTGAACGATCCCAAAGACGTCGAGATTCGGTCGTTCCAGACGGTAGGACGAGCTCCACTCGACGGTCCTTTGCGAGAATCTCGCCGTTCCTTCGAACGAATGTCTTTCGAGGAACTGGGAGACATCGAAGACCTGCGACCCATAAAACTGTACATTTCCAGCATCGACGTTCGTCGCTCTCTCATCTCTCTTTGTATTTCTTTTCTTTCATCCTTTTCCTTCCTGTCGCAATTGCGAGGAAAGATCCGGTCCAGAACCTGAAATGTGAAGACAAAACAGTTGAGACACTGAAACTCAATATCTTTTAAACATGAAATAAGTGAAACTTATTGAAACTTGCTGAGGGCACATAGCTAACTTCTGGTTCGCTGGGCAAGGGTTCGACCTCTTCGGATTTTTTCTTCGAAGCTTCGACCTTCTTTCGCCTAAAAAGATAAAAAAAGAGAAGTGGAAAACATTCAAAAAGAATTCAATATAAAAAACAATTCTTTAAACCAACTTTTGCCTCTCTTCTTCTTTCGCCTTCTCAGCTGCGCTTGGCCCTGCCAGGCTCTTCAGCTTAGGATGCCTGAGCCGGTGTCCGTGTTTGAAGAAACGCGGTTAGAACGCACAAACAACCCATAAGCTACTAGGAACAAGTGCCTTACTAGTAGTAACAAGTGCATCGCTATTAAAAACAAGAAGCTGAAACAAATCCAGGTTGCTGAAAAAATTTGCCCTTCAACACTGGCAGCATGTGCCAGTTCTCTTTGGAGAGATTTTGTCGCAATTCACCAGCTGATTGCCAGTAGGTTTGGTTCGTCTGCTCGAAATGACTTGATGGATTTGGGATTCGTTTGAAACACTGAAGCTCATCCTTCGAGAATCGGGAAGATCTCTGTTCGCTTCGTGGTCGGGAGAGCTGTGGTTCACTGGTTGAGCGTTGCAAATTCGCTGTGGCAGGTCGTTCAGCCACGACGCCTCGCAAAACACATCCCCAAACAAACAAAGCTTCCCAAACAAAGCCAATAATAAAAAATGATGCTTAAGGTAGTGCAGCGTGTACTACACTATTACTGCGGACAAAGAACTTAAAAACATGAAACAACTCCGGAAGGAGCAGAATTGGGTACTTCAGAGTGTCGACACCACTCCCCAGCCCCAGCCCCTGTGTTTCTTGAACTGACGTGTTTGAAAACAACCATTTGTCAGCGCATTCGCATCACACCTTGGGGACATCTCTGTGAGACTGTGACGAAAGGGAACTGAACTGTCCATGGCCAAGGACATATACTTGTTTCTAATAGCTTCTTGTTACTACTAGTAAGGCACTTGTTCCGTTCCTAGTAGCTTCTTGTGACTAGTAGTAAGGCCAGAAGCCCCTAGTAGCGTCCTTGCTCCTAGTTTGCATATGAAGCCAAGTTGCCGCCGATATTCCGTGGTTGAGTCAGTCGAGGATTGGTGGTCAATCACCCGCATTGATAAGGCGGAATGTTACCCCCCGCGCTCAAGACCCGCTTGACAGGGGATGCCACTATCTACCGCAATGAACGTGTTAGGAACCACAATGGAGCCAACTACTTCTTGACAACACCCTAATTCCAAACAAGAAGCTACTAGGAACAAGTACATCGCTTTTAGTAGCAAGTGCCTTACTACTAGTAACAAGAAGCTATTAGAAACAAGAAGCTACTAGGAACAAGTGCATCGCTTCTAGTAACAAGTGCCTTACTACTAGTAACAAGACACTATTTGAAACAAGAAGCTACTAGGAACAAGTATATCGCTTCAAGTAACAAGTGCCTTACTCCTAGTAAGAAGAAGCTATTAGAAACAAGAAGCTACCAGGAACAAGTGCAACGCTTCTAGTAAAGAGTGCCTTACTAGTAGTAACAAGAAGCCATTGGAAACAAGAAGCTACTAGGAACAAGTCCATCGCTTCTAGTAACAAGTGCCAACTACTAGTAACAAGAAACTATTAGAAACAAGAAGCTACTAGGAACAAGTGCATCGCTTCTAGTAACAAGTGCAACGCTTCTAGTAACAAGTGCCTTACTACTAGTAACAACAAACTATGAGAAACAAGAAGCTACTAGGAACAAGTGCATCGCTTCTAGTAACAAGTGCCTTACTACTAGTAACAAAAAGCTATTAGAAACAAGAAGCTACTAGGAACATGCATCGCATCTAGTAACAAGTACATCGCTTTTAGTAGCAAGTGCCATACTACTAGTAACAAGAAGCTATTAGAAACAAGAAGCTACTAGGAACAAGTGCATCGCTTCTAGTAACAAGTGCCGTACTACTAGTAACAAGAAGCTACTGGGAACAAGTGCATCGCTTCTAGTAACAAGTGCCTTACTACTAGTAACAAGACACTATCAGAAACAAGAAGCTACTAGGAACAAGTATATCGCTTCTAGTAACAAGTGCCTTACTCCTAGTAAGAAGAAGCTATTAGAAACAAGAAGCTACCAGGAACAAGTGCAACGCTTCTAGTAAAGAGTGCCTTACTAGTAGTAACAAGAAGCCATTAGAAACAAGAAGCTACTAGGAACAAGTCCATCGCTTCTAGTAACAAGT